GTGAACTTTAGACACTACTTGAAACTCATCTGTACTTCTATCAATGCCTAGCGAAATGTTCTCATCATTTTAGCCAGAAATGTTGATAGAAATGTTGATTAAACGCTTATGTTAAAAAATGCTTGGAATTTGGCTTTTGGCATATGATTACGATGGTTAATATTCCCGATTTTGATTAATTTTCGTTATTTTTGAGAATGAATAAAAGTATTTCAAACACTATTGATACTTCAGCTTTCAGTCACCTTACCAGCTTAACAAAAGATCACTATAGGCAGGGTAGCATTATACCATGCTGTCTCGACCTAATTGAAGGCAAAAAAGGTTCAATTTACGTCTTTTTCTTTTGGTGATAATAATCCTGCCCTTAGGAGTGAACTTTAGGCACTACTTGAAACTCATCTGTACTTCTATCAATGCCTAGCGAAATGTTCTCATCATTTTAGCCAATACAGCCAGAAATGTTGATAGAAATGTTGATTAAACGCTTATGTTAAAAAATGCTTGGAATTTGGCTTTTTCTATCGCAACCCTATCAAAATCCGTTCATAAATTCAAAATTCAAAAGCTGATGAGTCTTGTTTATTGCTCTGATTCAAATCTTGTTTATAAATAATATACAAAAAATACTGAAAGAAGAGTAAAATCTCAGGTGTGCGATTTCCTCAGAATTTTGAAATTTCTGTAATTTAATATTCACTACAAACTGATAAATTAGAGGAATTCGATGAGTTTTTTCGCTATAAAATGAGGATGATTTTTGCTGATTTCATAATTAGCGATAAAAACGATACTTTACAGTTCTCATTTTTCTAAGGTAATCTTACGCGATTCCGTGAAAATTTTGCGATTTATCAATAAATCCGTTGTAATTTATAATATTTTAAAATTTTTGAAAACCGTAAAAACAATAAATCTTTGTATTCTTTTATTGATTAACACCCTCATTTATTTAAATTATATCTCCATTTTTTGGAAATCTCTTCAAATCAAATACTCTTTTCGTAATAAAAAAAATAAAAAAAGCTAAAAAAAATTGTAAAGGTGAAGATCTAGGAATATTAAATAGAATTCAACCCCTCCTAACATAGGTGATTTTGCGATGCTTCCATAGAGGTTTCCAATCGAAAAAGCATGGATTAGAGTGGTGATTCCGGAATTAGAGTGGATTCAAGATATTTAAAATCGGGTATTTCTTCGAAAATGCGCGATGAATTGATACAAATACATATTTTATCAGCATCTTGTATATAAGATGTAAACACTTCCGTTATATTTACATTGATGCTGACTCCAATTCTCGCTGCAGTTATTGATACAATGCTTAACATTATTTGCATTCCGTTATAATTCAGGAAATAGGACTAAATCATAAGCGTATTCAAGGTCTATGATGCTGTGCTCTGGACTTATTTGTACACCTCTGGACGAGATAAACTGCCTTTATGGGCTGAATGATTTTCTCTGCGACACCGTCACATTCCACAGCGCTACTCTATCAATAAAAATTTTGACAATTCGTAATTTTTTTATATCGTAATTTCATGATATACTGGACATGATTAATTCATCTATTCATATAAATATCTCTTTTCCTTTGGAAATTATTCGTTTTCTCACATCGATTTCAACGATCACAGTATCTTTGCAGTGAATGGTTTTACTCCTGCGACTCAACCTTACCTCAACCTAAATGGATCTCTTCTTGTAGCCTTTCTAGTAGCCTTTCTAGAAATTGGTTTTTTATATATTTATTTTCGGAAATACAGAAATATTTCATTTTCGAAGAATTAACTTTTTACCTCGAGAATATTCGAATATTATTATTTTCAAAATTTAATAATGGCTTTCATTTTTCTCAAAATATTTTCATTCAGAATATTAATGGCGGAATTCCTATATTCAAGGCTTAATTCCATTTTATGTAAGGCTGTGCATCTTCGAAAAGGCATTTCGATTTCGCTATTTTGTCGGCATGCATTAAGAATTCATTCACAAAAATCCTTTTCTTAGTCATTTTTATCATATTCACATTACCATCATTAGCATGGCTTCAGAACTCGTTATAGCCTTTAACAAATAAATCTTTTATAATTTTTCGTAATTTTATGATTAGCTAAAATTGCTTTATCCATATTTCATCGAATCTTAATAATTTCTTTTATTTTGACATTTTTTTATTTTCTTACTAAGAATAATTCTAAAATTTTATTAAAGCGATTATTTAGTGGTAAATTAAATTTTGCTGCTTTCGAATTATCATACAATTATCATACAATATTTGACGTTCGTTGTAAAACTTTCTTGTTTTACAAATACTCTAATATTTTTTATGAATTAAAGATAATTGTCTCTTTAGTTTTTTATATTATTTTAAACTAATCATAAAGTCGAAAAAATTGTGAAAATTTCGAAGTAAAATTTTGAAAAGCCAAGAAAATAGGCAAATTATTAATGAATAAGGCGTAACCTCCTCATAGGCTCTCCAATGTGAACAACAACCACTAAGCCATTCCATGCCCTCTAATGAGAGAAAATTGCATTAATTACATTGTCCTTATTAAGATTAAATATGATAAGACAATGGTTTCTATTATATCACAGCAGCTTTCACTGATGATTAGTGCACCTTGCAAGAATGCAAGAACCCCAATTTTTCCCATATCTCTATAATATTTTCTCTTTTTCTTGAATCCACACCATTTATAGTTAAGCGTATTATAAAGCGTACCCGAGTAAACTGATTACAACTGATGCAATTTTAATTTTTAGAACATCTTTTAATTTATTAAATATAGATTATCTGATTTAATGAGAAATCTGCAAAAAAAAGAGATATAATTCAAAATAATGAGGCTATAAATCAATAAAAGAATGAAAAGATTTAATGAATTTACAATTTTCTAAAAAATTTAAATGCCATAAATTATCAAAATGAATTCATTAAGACTATCAGTTTGAGTTTCGCAATGATAAATGAGTTGAGATTTTTGTAAAGATTAAGAAAACTTTGCTAAAAGTACTATTTTTTATTAATAAGTGGTTGATAAGGAAAAAGGCAAAGTCAGCTAAAGCCAATTTCATTCCAATTTTGATTATATTTTGATTACTTCTTGACTGCGAATAAATTAAAACAAACTGAACTGAAATCTCATGGAAATTTTAATAAATAAATGTATGAGAATTTATAATGAAGTATTTTTTCTCGCAAAAAATTGTCGGGATTTTACTAAAATGACTTTGCGATGTTTTTATTAAAGAATCACTATCTTAAGACAAATTTTAGAATCAAAAAATCCGCAAATTTACGTATCAGTAATCGTTTTTTCTCTCTTATCAGTAGAAAAATCGGTAAGTTTCATAAACTCGTTGCATTTTTTCAAATAATTTTTTTCTTACTTATCACATGAAACAAATTTATTTTCTGAATGGAATAAACATAATTTGACAAGCAAATTAAGTAAAAATTGATGAATTTTTAAATTATTTAATATATTACAAAAGCTGGGCACAATTTCTTTTCTTCTATATTTCATATTTGCATTATTTTTGTATATTTTTTTGCATTATTTTTTTATTTTTTTTATGTTTCATATTTTTTCTGAAAATTTGCAGGTGATATATTCACACTCATAATTCACGATTTTGCAAATTTTTCCTGAGAATAATTCGAATTTGGCCCGTCTGCCACCAGCTTTACCAGTCATATTAATAAAAGGTTATTATATCGTGACATGTCTCCAACTAATTAAAGCCAAAAAAGATTCGATCCACACCCTTTGATGATAATAATTCCCTCCTTAGGAATGAAATTTATGCGCTACCTTGTTTTTAAGTAATTACATAATTTTAACTTTTATAACTATAACTTTTAAGAAAAAAAGAAGAATAAAATCCCAGAAGCCTAATTTCCTCGGACTATTTTGGAATTGCTGTGTTTTATAATTTAATATTTATTACAAAACACTTATTACAAGCTGATAAAATAGAGCAATTCAATGAATTTTTAAAGCTATGTTCTACCCATTTTTCTCAGCTAATATTAGACAATTCCGTGAAAATTGTGCGATTTATCAAAGATTAAAATGGTCTTAATAAATCCATTAAAATTTTAAAAATTTTAAATTTTAAAAATTTTTAAATTTTATTTTTATTTTTAAATTTTTAAATTAAGAACTGTAAAAACAACAAATCTTTGTATTCTTTTATTGATTTCTTTTATTGAACTCTCATTTATTTAAATTATATCTCTATTTTTTGGAATTCTCTTTAAATCAAATATTCTTTTCGTAATAAATGAAAAAAACTAAAAAAAAACTGTAAAGATGGAGATCTGGGAATAATAAATAGAATTCGGTCCCTCCTAACATTACGTAGATCTCTGCTAAGGTATGGCTGATGAAATGCCTTTATGAACTGAATGATAATCTCAGCGACACCGTCACATTCCAGAGCGCTATTCTATCAATCGTCTTGAAAATTGATTTTGCCAATTCGTAATTTTTTAAACGTGAATACTGGATAGATTATTTCATATAAATATCTCTTTCCATTTGGAAATTATTCGTTTTCTCAGTAATTTGTTTTGCTCTTGTAACTTTACGCAGTCAAATCAAACTGACATATTAACACAAATGTTCTTGCGAGAGAATGTTTCATATTCCTTTAATTTCCATTATTTTTATTCCACAGAAACGGAAATCTTTTAATTAATGCAAAAATGCAAAAATCATAGTTTATCAAGAAATTTATTTACATCTCATATATATAAAGAAAAGTTGAGCCAATTCAGAATAATCGCATTTTTTCGCAAAAAGATGAAAAATTTATTTAAATTTCTATTCTAAATTTTAAATTTATATATTAAAATTCACTAAATATCTTAGAAATATTTTAAAAAATTTGTTAATAGAAAATTATCTCAGAAATTTTTTAGAAAATTTGATACCTTTCTTTCTTAACCAAACAAATTTTAATTAATATTTCAATCGAAAAATACATCAATCTTTAATTTTTTTATCAGGTGAAGGAGGAACGAGGTAAGAAGACATATTTTTTCTGTATTTCGCATACCAATGCCGATCTCTTGTTGTAGCCTTTCTTGTAACCTGAAAATTGAAATATTTCGCTTTCGAAGAATTATCTTTTATCTCGAAAATATTCGACGCTGCGGCATTTTCAATATACATTGTTTATGAGATAAAATATGATAAAATTGGTTTCATACAATCGCTTTATAATTTTTATTTCGCACGAACAGTTATTTTCGAGTTTTCATTCTGTTAGTTCTTCACATTAAACTGTCATTTCAACAACTCTAATTAGACTCTAATTAGAAGGAATCTTCAACAATTCCTTCTACCTGTCTCTAATTCCTTATATTCCATAAGTAGCTGAGCCTTCTGAGACTTCGAAATCTCTTTAAAAAATTTGATAATAGAAAATTTGAGTGGATATGAAAGATATTTAAGGTTTCGCATTTCCTCCACTCGTGATGAATTGACAATAATGATATTTAACCAGCGTATCTTCTATATGAAGCAAAAGTATAGGAAAAAGAACGCGAACTGATCTCACTTAGAAATTAGCGAATTTAATGTTAGCTTAATGTGACCTTTCTTTCCTGCTTAATGCATTGCCCATCTTTTTCTATATATTCTTCGCTGACACATTTGCATTGCTGAATGCATATTTCAGGAGAATCATCGATGTAAACCAATCGTTCTACAGTTGTATAGAGCATATTATCACCACATTTCCAACCAGTTCGCATGCAAAATGGGTCGCGAATCTTTCCGCATGATAATCCAACGCAATTTGCGGGAGTCTCAGAAAGCTGAAGTCACATGTTTTATTAAATTTATTAAATGGCTGTTAAAAGTTATTGCAATTGCAATATTGAAAGAAAAATTATGTGAAAACCTCAGCTTTACAATATACTTAAATTCATTGAAATAGATTTTTGGGTTGAAGTTGGTGTCACTGACTCATTTCCTTCTGCAGATTGTTGGGTTGAAGTTGGTGTCAGTGACTCATTTCCTTCTGTAGATTGTTGGGTTGAAATTGGTATCACTGACTCATTTCCTTCTGCAGATTGTTGGATTAAAGATGGCGAGGCAATTTCATTTCCTTCCGCAGGAAGGATGCATTGACCATTTGCTTTGACATATTCTTCACTCATACAAGTACATTTTTGAATGCAAACTTCAGTACCATTCTTCTTAAGGAATTTGCCGATATTATTAAATATCATATTGGTCCCGCAAATTTCACCAGTCAATGAACACGGAACATTGAAAATTTCTTCATCAAGTGCACATACTCTTCCCGTGCAGTGTTTAGGCAATATTTCACCACCAAACTAAAAAATTAACAAAACCAAACCTCTTTTCCTTTCATTTAGTACAGTTGGCATTCTTTAACTATTAACCTATTTTGTTTAATTATAATGGACTTCTAAGATTATCATTCAATAATAATTTTATAATAATTATTGAATAGTTAACTGTGCTAAATAATCGAAACTCTTATATCAGTAATAAGAAGGACCTCAGTTTCGTTTCGCATCGGAGCACTACTTTTTTTAATGCACTGTCCACCCATTTTCGTGTATTCATTACTGTCGCAAGTGCACTGTTGAATACACATCTGATATGATGATATACCAACTTTCATACGTAAAGGCCCAACTGTGGTCTTAAAGACCATATTTGGTCCACATTTCTGGTCTGTCAATAAGCACAGAGTATCAGTGATTATTTCGTCAAGTCTACAGATTCTTCCACTGCAGACCTTTAGTGTTGGCACTTCGATGGGTAGCTGAAAATTAACTGAAATAACTTTGGAATGAAACTTGCAAAAGTTCGCAAATAAATTTTTTATGAATATTTTTAAATGTTAATTTTGCGACTATTGCATTTTTTGAGATGATAAGAATTTTTGTTTTGTTTTTTCGAATTTCGATATTTATTTTAGGCATAATTTAAATTCTTATCTTAAAATTAGCAAGCTGCCGTTTTCTTATCTACCTTCACCTTTGTATTATTATCTAGAAAACAATTATTAAATGAGTGGTGATAGCATCCCACTGAAGAAGAATCACTGAAGGCTAACTGTCGACCATTTATAGAATGTAACGATACTAATGCCGTGACTAGATTAAAGCCATTTAGAACTGCATATTGTCAGAAAGGAAAAAATAATAAGGCTGTACTAAAAATAAAGTGGCTGCATGGAACCTTAGGAGCACAAATTCAGGAAAGCACAGTGGTAAATGGAATTAGACGGCTGTAAATTGGCATCTCAGGCAGTTTTCAGCCATATGCTCGCATCCTTTATTATTCAGGATATGAACAAAAAAGCAATATTATAGCTGTTTTAGCTGGAATTAGCATAAGAACAGTCAAGTTCAAACTGAATTCGACAAAATAAAGAAAAGCACGATGCATTTGCTTGGAATGGGTGATGCCAAAGTTAGAAGCAGGAAAAAATTCAATTTGAAATGATTCATGGTTTCTACGAATTAGGCAGTCCTTTGGCACTTTTCACAACAAAAATCAGTATATTTTGCTTTATTGCTAAGGTTTTCAGAATAATTTTCTTATAATAATTTTATTAAAATTTTAAAAATTCATCATAAAAATTCTGCTATATTTTAGTATATTTTGATAAAAAATTCAACTTAAGAAAAACCTCAGCTTTGTTTCGCGTCGAATTATTGTTTTTTTCAATGCATTGACCATCTCTTTTTTCGTACTGTTCACTGATACATGCGCATTCCTGAATGCATATCAGTTCCGGTGATACGTCGTCAGTGTATTCCAATCGGTCAACAGTTCTGTAGGCCATGTTATGACCACATTTGCGACCAGTCTGCATGCAAAGTCGATCGTAAATTTGTGCGCATGATTGCCCAGCATAGCATAAAAGGGCCTAATGAAATGATAAAAATTAAGGTTTAGTTAAGACGTAAGAAAATATAAGAGTGACGATGATTGACATGAATGTTTCTTAGATAAAGCAATAAATCGGCAAAATATGTTAGTCCTCTCTTTAAAATAATATTATAACATTATTAAAAAGCTTTATAAAAAGAAATTTAAAAAATTTTACCAGAGTAACCGTCGGAATAATCATAGTTCTAACTGAGAGTAATTGAGAGTGATAATTCTAAATGAGAATGACTGAGAAAAACTGTTGTGCTCTTCCAATTTTATACTGAATTTTTAATTAATTCCACCCAAAAATACATCGCTATCACATGGACAATTTTCGGTAAATATTTCATATATAAAATATTCGTAGGTATGCTTGGAAATGAAGATTGACATCACAGAACACTGCAATCTTAATTTTCATGCAAACGCGAAATTTTATAAAATTTGAAAATGATTTTAAACTCTGAAATCAGGTAGAATTGGAAAATAGATTAAAAATGGATTAAATTTTTCCACCATTATATTCTGAATTTTTAAATGCCAAATCTTATAGGTTTTCCATTTTACTGTTTTCTATTGCATTTATTGTTAATTAGTAATATTAAAAATAAATTTTAAGAATATCAAAAAAGCCTTGAAAAGTATAGGAGATTTATTTTATGAAATTTGTTCGGATTAATTATTTTCTCCTTTCCCAATGCTAAATAAATCGAAGTATAAGGTTGTACATACTTGGTTGGTTCTAAATGAATGGATAAATAATTATTAATGAATAAAAAACATTTTTAAATCTCTAAATCTCTTTAAGAAATCTTTAAATTTTCTGTTGTGATAATCACATTTGATAACCTTTTATGTTATCGATTCAATTAATTTTATCAATGCAATTAATTTATCAATTCTATTAGTGGTTGCAGAAATGAAAAATTTTTTATGCATATTTTTTAATAAAATCGTTATTAAATGAGAAATTTGAATTAAACATGATTGTGTCACAATTATAGTGGTATAATGCATGTTCAATGAAATGAACTGCGATGAATGTCGGTTTTTGAAGTAATTTTGAAAGTACTTTGGTTGATTTGTCGTTGCATTTTTCGGCAATTATTTCAATAGAATATTTTAAAAATAAATCGTATTTTAAAATTAAAATTAGTCTCTAATTTTCTCATTTGTAAAGCACTCATAATTTCCGAATATTCTGCTCATTCATAGAACAAAATTTTCCTTCAAAAAACTGTTGCTCGACTTATTTATATTTCTATCCCGCAGTAGTTTTGTAGCAAAATTTGCCTGGTGTGACAAGCCAGTCACGGTGAGTCTAACCGAAGATGGCAGCGCTTTTATAAAATATTTCTCAGCGAATCTTTGAAAGGATCTTTCCGAGCGAAATGCTTACACTACCAAATGGTTACTGTAGCTAATAAAATCTAATTCTTTTCTATACTGAAATGCGACACTATGTTTATTTAACTGTTTTCTGGAATATTATCGCAGCGATTTGATTATTTTGAATTAAATTAAATTATACTCTTGTTACACATTAATTATTGAGCAATAATCGTTGATCATAAAATTGCGAAACAATTTCGAATTATTTTTGATAAAATTATGCTGAAAATCGAAATTTATGATTTCCCACATTCGTTACACCAATTATTAGAATTAAATTATAATTATTAGAATTAATAATTTGCTTATTTGGTTTTCAAAATTTTACTTTGAAATTTTCACAATTTTTTCAACTTTATGATTAGTTTAAAATATGAAAAACTGAAGAGACAATTACCTTTGATTCACGAAATTTGTTAGGAATATTCGTGAAACAAAAAGTTTTACACTGAGCGCCAAAAATCAATTGTATAATAATTTGGGAACAGTAAAATTTAATTTACCACTAAATAATCGCTTTAATAAAATTTTAGAATTATACTTAGTAAGAAAATAAAAAAATGTCAAAATAAAAGAAATTATTAAGATTCGATGAAATATGGATAAAGCAATTTTAGCTAATCATAAAATTACAAAAAATTATAGAAAATTTATTTTTCTAAAGGCTACTACGAGTTCTGAAGGTAAAGCGATGGAAGCCATTCTAATTATGGTAATGTGAATATGATTGAGAAAAGGAAAAAATTTTTGTGAATGATTTCATAACGACAAAATAACGAAATCGACAAAATAGCGAAATGCTTTTTCGATGATGCACAGCCTTATATGAAATGGAATTAAGCCTTGAATATAGGAATTCCGCCATTAATATTCTGAATGAAAATATTTTGAGAAAAATGAAAGCTATTATTAAGTTTCAACAAAATTGGCAATTGTTTTAGTCAAACCAGTTATTGTAAGTGCCATCAGAAGAAGAGGAGCAAAATTTGGTAAAAATTTGAGTAGGCAGTTGCTGCCACAATTTAGTAATAAAAAAATCGAATAGGACGAAAGAAGTACTATTTACAATGTTGGACTACATAAGTATCGAACAACGAGTCAATCTTGAAAGATATTTTGCTTGTGAGAGAAGAATTTTTGGCGTTAATGGGCTCGCAAGGTGCCGACTTCGGTTCCGTCGCCGGTTCTCTGCATTTAATTTCTTTTTAAAATTTAAAAAAATTAAAGCCCAGATGGGTGAACACGGAGAATAGGAAAAAAACAATTGCTAATATATCACTGCTAACATTGCAATATGAAACCTTGTTGCATCGTTCGACAAATCCTTTACTTCTAATATTAAAGGCTTCATTACAAATCCACATTTACGATTCGTCAATGGTCAAAAGATTTTGAAAATCTGCAAAATTTTCCACAGCGCTACTGGAAGATTTTTTTTAGAGTGAAAAACTAAAATTACTCGTATATATTACTAAATTTTGAATATAGAAGTTTATAAATTTTCCTGCTTCAAAATGTTTTTTGGATATTTAGCAGAACTGAATCCATGAAATCATATGGAAGAACAACAATGACAATTTTTTCGAATTTTCCAATTTTTTAAATTTCCTAAAATTTCCTTTAAAAAAAAAACACCCAAAATTTTACCAAAATTATGAATGTTAACAATAATAATGCTTGGCAACAAATGGGCATCGTAGATTCGATTTATAATAAATTTTATATCGATTTTGCCTAAATGCCGCTGTGTTACCAATACCGTTAACATATTTAACATAAGAAATATTAAAAATGATTAATAATTTTTATTCATAAATTCGTATTTTTTCATATTCGCTCTCAGTCAAATTCATATTCGCGTTGTTTGAATCCACAATTTTTGTATATTTTCTAGATCCACTTGGCTTTCAATTTAACAAATCACTATTAAATTTTAATATTTAGTAATTTAGTAATCTTTTTTTAATATTTAATTTTTATAATGTTTTAAAAAATATTATACATAAATATTATAATTTGAAATTTTTTTTAGAAAATAATTTTCTAAATCTTACAACGCTTTTATATTTTATGATTTCTACAATTTCTTTATTTTGCCAAAAAACAATTTTAAAATAAATTTGGAATTTCACTATTTAAAATATTCGCGATTTTAATATATTTTTTCAGTCAATGGAATCTACAAATGGATAAACTTTTACAAAATATTTTTATTTTTATTTAGGAAATGCTGCGACAGATTACTTTAATTTACTGTTTAAAAAATGGTAAATTGGATGATTTGAAATCAATTTTTTAAAATATCACTTGAAAATATTTTTTTAAAGTAATATAGTTAGTAATGATTATTGTTAGTAATTTTTTGTACGAATATTTATTTCGATGACCAACTACAACTACAACTTACAATTGTTTTGAATTTCATAAATATATTGTGCTCGTCCCTTCAAAAAATTTTAAAATAGCTTAAATTAAACGTTAAATTAAACAAAAAAAGTTTATTTTTCCAGTTATCTAAAATAAAAAATAAAATAAAATCGCCAGCAACAAATTATAATAAACATTTTCGCCTTCAGACATTAAGACGATATAAAAAATTAAATAAAAGCTAGAAACATTCAAAATTTGCTTTGATTGCAAAGATATGAAATGAGATCAAATGTTCGGTGAATCAAACCCGAAGAAACTACGTTTTTTCATTTCCGATATTGAACGCTTAGCAAAAACTTCATAAAAACGCTTATAATCAGGAAATTTCTTCAAATCACCATATCCAACAATAGAAGGTCTTTTCGACAACATTCGCTCGCTAATTCTTAATAAATCGTTGCTAGTTACTGCATCTGGAACGAAATAATATGGATTTAAAATTCCCAAACTTTAAAACCCGCATTTAATGTCATCAAACTTCTGAAAAAGTAAAAAAGTTTCTGATTAGCAGCAATTAAATGTATAAAAACTAAAACCGACCAATCTTTGCAACATATTCCGACGGTTTTCTGCGCAAACCGTGGCCTAAAACCTGGCGGGATAAATCCTCAAACATAACTGGACGAACTTCAAGATTCATCATAAGCTGACTTTTTAATTGAGTTTTTGCTCGATTTAGTTCCTCTTTTGTTACAACACCTTTCAATAAAAGTAAAAATTGTTCAGCAATAACCGAAGCAGTGTCTGCGATCTGAAATATTTCTGAGTCCTATAGCATACCGAAACGACTACCAGTCATTTTGTAATTATGCTAAAGTCTTCGATTGTGAATATGGAGTTGGAAAGATTGGTTGAATGTTATTTATATTATCTATATATCGCCCTCATTTATGAGATTATATTCTGAATGGCGTGAAACAGTGTCTGACACTTTGGTGCTCTTTTTCTATTTTCTGGAATGGCCACATTACTGCGCCAAGATGGAATCGATTATTTCAATATATAATAATAAAAAGTTGTTGCAAAACTTATGGTCCATATTAAGATTGTAAAAATTACAAATTACTAACTTTAGAGGGATCAGAAGATGCCTGAATATAAAATATACCAGAATCAGCATAAGAGAGATTAAAAGCAGTGGCGCTGTACATCCACGGATACCTATTAAACAATATTAAAAGGTAGATAAATGATACTAAAATGATACTAAAATAAAAATTAAATTAAGACAACAATTATATCAAAACCATAAATATGTATTTGACCTAATGAATTTTATCTCAATTTCTGTTTCGCCAAATAAATAAGCCAGCAAAAAAATGATAATAGATATAATTTAATCTATACTACAATAGAATATAATTTAACCTATTAAGTACATCGACATAGAGACGAGTATACATTCCTTTTCCTGGACCACCAGCACTGAAGCTTCCACCACCACCCATCAATGATTGCAATACGCAAAAAGCAACAAAATCATCATCTTTAAAACCACAGCTCTCGAATCCAATAACTAAATGGGCAAGATTCGGAAACGGAGATGGACCAAGAGCCATATTACTTAAATCTTTTTCAACCTAAAATAATGAAAGATTTTCAATGAAAAAAAAAATTTGAAGTACCTATATAAATATATAAAGCAATAGTTTACATCCAATGAACACTCTTCGAAAAATATGAGAAATCCCAAACATTACTAAATATAATCTTACCAACTTTTCACCACCTACATATTGAGCAACCGAATTATCAATAAGTGGTATATTTGAAGGTACAATACTGGAATCACTGGCCCATATAGCCTTTGATGGGTCGAACAAAGATTCGGACAAGGATACTAGTAGGTCATGGTCGACACCAACGGCTGAAATTTTTTTCGATAATGCACTTAAAAAGTATATTGCACCTATTCTTCAAAAATTCAAAGAAAAACAACAATGACACAAAATTCTTTAAAATCTTTGTGATAGTTATGTGAAAATAAATTTCTACCTGCAACAACCATCCGTTCTGGTGAATGATGTTGCTTGAGATATGAATAAATGGTACTTTCGCTAATGGCATATAAGTTGTCTAGTGGACAGTATTTACTGAGCCCTAACGTGTTTATATCATATGCAGCCTGAAAAAATAGTTAAAACAAATGAAAAAGTGATTTGTCATAATTTAACATCGCATTTTTTAAGAACCCTCAACCTTCAACTATTGCTGGTTAGACTCGCTCCGCTGAATGAATTGCTGCACTAGAAAAATGTACCAAGGAATTCCTTGGTAATAAAATAAGGATTCTGGATCGATAGTGAAAATAAAAATGGCATCAGCGAATCGAATAATAATCTATTGAGCCACCCCATCCCCCCCTATAATATGTATTTAATATTATATTTCATGGCTTGATGATAAGATCATTGCCATAAAAAATTGAGAATGGTCCGAATCCGGCTGAAGCACTACGCTTCGACATTTGATAATGTCACTGACGCTTGAAAGAAGTAAAAAAGTTAAAGTCCTCAAGTTACTTGCTTGCATTTCTTATACAAAGACTTCCTGACAAAATTACCAGATTCCAACAAGACAGTAGAGCAAGCCCTTAGAAAAAAATATATAATCTCTCACCTTTTGTAGGTGGTATACCACATCATTATCAATCTTAAGTCTTCTACCAAGAGGCCTCGGAGTACGCAATATCTTATCTATTCATAGCAGTGCGCTCTTTTAGATTGCAATCTTTAATATTGATCATGGAGTCCGTTGTCGCTTTTTTAGTTTGGGGATCAGAGTGCTTAGTGGCCCTACCACCAGTGCTTCGGCCTTTATTCATCCTTATAGATCTTTCTATTATTTAACTTCTCCTTATTTCTGATATTTATATCACTTGCACAGTATTGCTATATTTATCACAAGTGCTGACTTTTGATTTTTAGCTATAACCATATCTGGTTGAAATCAATATGTTTGGATGGAAAATTGTCCCAGAACAAATTGGCCTTATTATTCTCCACGATTTTCTGGAGAACCTCTCATCTGGTTTTAGGAAGATGCCTCTTTATCACGGTTTTCGTGAGGGTGTAGGATTCAGAGGTGCTTATAGATACTTTGTATATGCTTTGCTGGCAGATCCACACATCAATATTAACTGCTTTGTGATTATCCAGCTAAGGTTTACCAATGCAGAATATAGATGCTTGATATATGCCTAATTAATTCTTGCACTAATTCCGAAATCATCGTGGTTGTTCTGAAATTCCGTCGATTGTTATGATCTTTTTCTCCTATATATTCTTCCAGTATTGTTTAGACCCGCTGTTGGTGAGTCAACAATTGAAAGCGCATTTTAAACAATTCTTTGGAAAATAGAGCATTTTTTTGGCCACTGCTTCTCTAAGGTAAGGTGATTAATGTTGGAAGCTTTTGTAGTCTTAAGGCTTCTTCTGGAAATTGTTTTAGTCCTTAATTTTCCAGGATCCTAAATTTCATACCTTTCTACCAGCTGACAAAAATCCATCAGCTGATAAAATTCTCTACATGCCCCGATCTTATTCTCCAGTTTTATTTTCTAAGGGCGACATGCATTGCTATTATTCTTCTACATCTAAAGCATTTGCAAAATTAAAGCAGCTGTGAATTCATTTGTTTCTGTTATAGTACTCACAGAAATGATAACAATGGTTATGATACAGTCATGATTTTTTGTCTCATGCCAACTGTACCGTTTTGTAACGGTGATGTTAGAAGATAATTTCCAGTTTCCAGCTTCCACCTTTGTTGGGTATATATCCTTTTCTTTCGAATTATCTTAGATCGGAGATCTAGTACGAAATCGATCTGCCTCCATTTGAGAAAGTAGTTTCTTTTTTGGTATGTCGAAGCATTAGACAATTAGCTATTTCTCAGTAAATGTGTGTGTAGGTCTTTTCTTCACTCCTAGTTCCTTCATTTCTTTCATACCTCTCATATATTTGCTTCATTAAATGTATTGCTGTGGTACCATTCTGTCAATAAAAGATTATTTTGTCTTCATTTATATAAGTTTCTTTATAATCTATAATCATTTATAAGGTTCGTTTCAGTAGCTCTTTAAACGCCACACTGCCGTGGTTCCATAACACTTACCGCAATTCCAGTGGCCCACTTGCCACCGGTTTCTTGGTTTCTCAACATTTGACGCGAACCTTGTTAGTATGAGCAGTGTTTAAGCTTCTAATATGTGACATTCCCATATTTAAAATATATATAACAGTACTTCTTTCTGTAGCAATTATCTTTTTCAATTAGGTCACTGATTATTAGAATGATATAATCACGTAAGCATTAGGATCATGTAGTTTAATCAGAACCAGAATGTTGACTGAAAAAAAATACAGATGGGTCCCCAAAATTATTTACGCCCTTTAATAGTAATTTTTTTATCATTAATATATGATAAGAACTGGCTAAAGAATCATACAGTATTAGATAAATAAATAAATCACCATCATTTCGTAGCGCTTGAGCTTAATGTCGAATTAAATCGAAAATGAAAAAATTAAAAAAAAAACCATGTGAATCCAGTCATTCAAAAGTGGTTCGCAATCGGGCTTTGAATTCATGTCCTCATTTTCATAATTTATGATCATTCGAGCATCTTTTAACTAAAAAGAGTTTCTATAGAAAAATATAATTTGCTTAAGTAGAAGTATGAATATATCTGAAAAAAAAACTCTCTTCAGCCTGTTTCTCCAACATCTTATATTCAATATTCAATATATTCATATTTGCATTATTAGTGTTAATGAAAGATTTCGAAATTCAATAGCATGATCATATTTTTTTTCGAAACATGCTAAATAAACATTTTTCTATATATCTCATGCATTAAAAGTAAACATACGCTCTCTGCAGTGATAACAGGTCGCATAATAGCATCAGATATTATGGTTAAAATGTCTTTTACACCATTAATATGACAGGAAGATGCAAATATGAAAGTATCCTTTGTCGACTGACAATCAATCAAAGCACCGCGCCGCTCTAACAATGAGAACATTTCCTCTTTTGTAGAAAATGAAGAAGTTTTCTGAAGATATTTGAAAAAGAAATAACTTTTTAAAAGCTTCCATTGAATATTTATGTAAATCCTAAAAACAAGTCCGAATAACTATTAAAATACCAATAAATAGAATGAAAAACTAACAGAGAAAGCAAGTTTTTCCACGAAATGAGGGACGCCAACTGGAAAACGACCAGCATATCGAGAACCAGCATTAATTGCGACTAAAATATATTATATTTATTTATATTTAGTAAAATATTTTTATTAATCATCTTATGGTTTATAAGCTCTATAACCACGAAACAATTTAAAATATTAATTCCTAAATATAAATGTTAATTAATATTAAAATATTAATAAATATTAATATTAACAAATATTAATCATAATTATGTAAATATTAATATTAATTTTAATATAGTTATTCGATGAAAATTTGCAGTTTTTTTCCTAATATTTTACCCAGAAGAATTTTCAAAAGCGGACAAATAGCACAGAAACGGCAAAGACAATATGAAAACAGCAAAAATTTTCAGAAAATTTCAAGGGGTGCTTTTTAAAGAAAAATTAATTTACCTCCAATAGTACAATATTGTCCAAAATGTGGTTCAGATGCCACCTTAAGACCAGTTTTTAAAAGTGTTAACTTTGTATCAAAAGGTTGAATATCATGGTTAACAGCATACGATACTTTCGACAAACCAGGCAACGGTACAGTTAAAGGTAGATCGTTTATATCTAATTCATGCTATAAAAAACTATGAAATTATGAAAATATTTCGAAAATTTTACCAAAATAATGCCTATATAATTACAAAAATTAAAAGAGTCCATTATAATTATAATTAACTAAAAATTATATGGTAAAGAAACAAAATTAAAATCACCAACATTTTTTTCTTTGGAATTCAATGAAGCAGAAACTAAATTACGAGAAGATTCTCGATTTGAAGATAAATATAACCTGAATAATTTCAAATTTTTTGGGAAAGAATTTTTTACTTGCAAAAATTTAAAATTCAATTTTTTAAGGAAAAAATACAAAGAAAAAAATTAGAAATCATTTCGCACAAATAAAATAAAATCTCTTTTTTCGCATTAATGCTTCCTTGTTAAAAAAAAAAATTATCATAAATTTAGTATATTAATGTATTTTTAGACGATAATTAATACTGATTTATACTGATAGTAATTCTATAACTGTTTACTGGTAAGAAGCTTTATATAACCTTTAAATAATCGAAAAATCTTTCTTCCTAAATTGTGTGAAGAGCATAGGATCGAGGTCAAATAGAGTTTTTTCTTAAGACTTCTCTTTTCATTCTCTTCTTCCTCTCTTCCTTCCTATTTTTTTTTAAGAGTTTTTACCATTACTGGTTAAACTCGCTCTACTGGCTTGCCTGGCTTGTTATTGGTCAAATATGCCAGACATTCCCTTGGCGATAGAAATACGAATGAATCGCGAGCATCACCCTGACTTTGGTTTACTGCTGCGGGGAATAGAACCTTAGTATCGGCGCTCCAAACTGAGCAACAACCCACTGAACCATTCTATCCTCTTTTCCTTCCTATGTTTAAATCGTCTCCACAGTTCTCTCCCACAATAATTAAAAATCACTAGAATTCAAATAATTAAATTTCAATTAATTAAAAAGAAGAGCTGAAAAGGAAACCGTTGAAAAGATGGCTGAGGCAGTTTCTCCACCAAACGACGATAAAACCTCGAAGTGTTTTTTATAAAATACATTTATGCGTAGTTCCCTAAAATTTAAATGCTTTATTTAACGATTATCATAATATTTTCCTTTAAATTAGCTTAATTTTACGATATAATTTAAGATTTTCATAAAAGAACAACGAAAAGTGGATAATGAATAATCGTCAAAATTCTCATATTTCTATCGCCTAGCAAATAATTGCCTAGCAAAATCTATTTGGTCCGATAAAGCGAATCTTTAGCAATTATAAAAGAAAAAAAAACAAAGAAAAATAAAAAAAGCGATTAGAAAATAAATAAATTTTAGAAAAATATAAATAAAAATCTATCGAAAGAAAAATTTCATTCGAATTTAAAGAAATTTTGAAATTTAAAAAAATTAATTTTCTATTTCAAACATATAAAATAAAACTTATAAATAAATAATTACTAAAATTTAAATGATTTAGTTTTTAATTGTAAAATCCTAAAAAATATTAAATTTTTCGAAAATTTAAATATTATTTTTTTTTATTTGAATTCCACTGAAATTGGAATTTTATGAGAAGAAATAACAGTTTTTAAAAGAAATCACTCAAAAATATTTCGACGGGCCAAGAAAACATTGAAATAAATTAGCCAAAATAGTACCATCATTCTTCTTTAGATTATTTTATCTATTTTCCCACTTCGTTCAAAAAAAGAAAGTACCGACGTCTTGCAAGCACTTTAAGACCATAATCAATAGTTGTAGCTTGATATATATTTCTATTCCTCATTATGTGATAATCTTAACGCAAGAATAAGAATAAAAGGATGGACAAATGTTGTAATCAGTATTGCTTAATGTAGGGGTATCCAAACCTTTGTTTTAGCTTGGCCGTATTGAAAAGGAAGGAACTTGGACTGCACATAAAATGCATGATATAGTTGAAACCATGCTGTATATTTAAAAAAACGACCAGACTGAATTATCGGAACATTTGCGAAACTAGAGCCTGGTTCGACGAAGGTGGGCGCTAACAATTCTTAGTGAGTCCTTCATGGTTCACGATGAACCGCACCACTAGCTCTCCGCGTCCACGTACAAACTGGACATCCTTGGTCTAACGAATAAACTATTTCTTATTTACTCGTACTTTGACCTGAAATTCGAATGAAACACAAATCGGTACTGGAGTTGACGCTGACCTTACGTTGAACTTTCGTTTGATCACCTACCATTATTAACCGAATTTGCTCGCATGGAACTTCCACCTCATAAAACATTCTAATGATTTTTTTGACAGCTAATGCAGGAAGAAGGTACCATCGATGGCATTTGCCTGGGCTACATTAGCTATTTTTTTTTTAAGAGTCTTCACCACTACTGGTTAGACTCGTTCCGCTGGCTTATCGTACAAGACAAATATGCCATGGAGTCCTTTGGCGGTAGATGTACAGGTGATTATTCGCCAGCATCACTCGGATTTTTCGACAGGCTCTTATTCTTAATCTTATACTTAATCTTATTCTTGCGGGAAGTAGAACTTCAGTATTGGCGTTTCGAATCGAGCAACAATCCACTGCGCCATTTTAATCTGCATTAGCTGTTAAAATACGGTGGAAATTATCGTAGCTAGAAATTATCGATGTTAGGCCTTATTCTTCGACTAATTAAGGCCATAAATTATTGACCGAACTCTTTGAAAATCTATTTTCATAAATTTAAATAAATTTAAATAGTGCATTAGCAATGATTTTTGGTGAACTGAACCATAAAATTTTTTTTTTTTCATAAAATAAATGAAGCGAAAATAAAATGAAAAAACAGGATTTATTACGATCGATTTTAAAGCATTATTCTATCGAATTATCAACAAATAATAATCGTATAATACATTGAAACTATAAAAATTATAATTCCTTTGTTATTGGATGTTTCTAATCGGTGACTGTGGTTCTTTGCTATGAAACCACAGAAGATGATTCTAATCGGTGACTGTGGTTCTTTGCTATGAAACCACAGAAGATGATTCTAATCGGTGACTGTGGTTCTTTGCTATGAAACCACAGAAGGTGATTCTAATCGGTGACTGTGGTTCTTTATGAAAACTACGTGATAAACTATAATCTTGATTTATAATTATATTCTCATCGGTACTTCTAATTCTATCTACTGATTCGATAGTCTATAATTCCTACGTCATATTACCAACACAGACACCGTTCCATAATCCTATTTGATGTTATTTATGGTAGAATTCGCTAAATTATTTATTATTTGTGAAAAGCAGATTCTGTATATTCTAGATGGAATAAAATATAAAATATAAATGGACAAAAAGTTATAATAACTAAATAGAATAGAATATAATGGCCAAATGCTATATTGGCTTCGGTTACTGAGGCCAACTAGCATTTCTGCCTCCTGACAAACCGGGTGGTGCTGGGAATTTACCTACACTTCTTTCCAACTCATATACGGATCTCCTAAGTGGAGTTAGCCAGAAATTTATTATTTATTATAATAGCGAGTCAGAGCAATGAGGTTAAGCAGTGCTAATTACCAGCTATTCACCTTTATTCCTTCTATCGCCACGGTTATTCTTTGGCGAAAAATTTTCAAATATATTTTCTCGAAAATAAATATTTATATAAATATATAATATATATATTTGGTCGTCAAAGACAGAATATTTCTAAAATTTGAAATTTTCGCTTGAAATTAACAATTTTCAATATTTTCGACGATTTATAAATATTTTCTTCGATTAAATCAGAAAAAAAGCTCTTTTTTTATTATATATACTTATCAATTTCAGTACAGTCAAAATGTCTCACAAATATATAAAAATAAAACAGTGGAAAATCCCTTCTTTCCTTTTCGAATGGTATTTCTGATTTGATTTGCTTCACTGATTATTTATAGGAAACATTGATGATTCTAGTGAAGGTCTGTAGATCGCAAATTTATTTAAAGCACCACTACCTGGATTTCATTTTTGATTTATTTCCTTGTCGATGAAGGAATTAAATAGCTAAAAAAAGTGAAAAAATATGAAATATACATTTATTTACTGGCAAAATCTTAAACGATATTATCAGTAAATATCTTCATTGACGAGGAATAAATCAAAAATAAAATTTATGATACATAATTGCATTGCATTAGGAAAAAATGAACCACAAATAAAATGAAATGATGATTTTTTTTCTAATATAGTTCATTTAAATAAATTAACATATTTTATTTTTATTTATTCGTATATGTATTCATCATTTCTGGCTTGGCTGACTGCTAAAGTGAATGATGAAGAGGGTCATTTGCGTGTAGAAGTGGGGGAATAAGGCCACAGTATGGCACGCATTTCATTTTTTAATCATAAATTTATTTCTACCAAGCGATAGAAACTAAATATATGTGACACAAGAGACATGAGTTGAAGCAAAGCAGAGCTTGAAAATTATTATTCTTTTTAAACTACAAGCAATTCTATTAATTTATTCTTCTTCTTCTACCCTCCTCTCAGCACCATTACTGATTAGGCTAATAGAGTGCCGACAAGTGTAAGGCGTTTAAGACGATCTGATATCATCGTCGACAGCAATAAAAGCCATCCATTCTATTAATTTATAAGAAGCACGGATAGAAACCAAATGGCGAATTGCTTCGACTAAAGTCAACGCACCATACGTTGGTTTCTTTTCATTCGACAAAAGTAAGTCTAAAATTAAAAATGAAAACGCTTATGATATTGGAAAAAATTTTTTAAAAATTCATTAAAATTGCTATGAATTAAACAAAATATATATATTTTTCTTTTTTTATGCTAAAAATTTATTTTTCCTCAGCTTCATCCTATCGATTTTCCTATAAAGGATTGAACCCAAAGGATAATTTTTATAATGGTTTTGCTCTTTGCTTTCCAAATACGATTTGCGTTTACGTCAATTATCGTCGATTCAAGCCAGTTTTTTTTTCATTTTCTAATGTTCAAGCAAATCATTAGCCTTATCTGAATCGAATTTCATGTCATTTTCTTCGCTAAATTTTTTTTAAGAAACGAAAAAATTCAAAATCAATTTAAATGAAAATGTATAAATTCATTTCAATTCTTATCAAAAATTCTACATTCTTAGCTATCGAAATGCTTTTAAATCGAGCGATATATCATATCACTTATCACTTAGATTATTATTTGAAGCATAAGTTTCAAAACTTTTGACCAGAATTATTCTGTGTGAAAAACTGGTCCTTTAACTGGTCTTTTGGTGAAATTTTATCTCCTTTATTGAATGCTAACAAAGTGTAATTTTGTCTAATAAATTTTAAATTTATTTAAAATTTTAATCAATTTTTGTCTTCTGGATATCAAACATAAATTTCTATCTTTTTTTTAGTATCGGTCTTTTTTCTGGTCAACGGTGAATATGAAATATTAATTTTCTTCTTGGTTTTTAAAAGCAAAATCCTATTGTAAAACAGTGATTAACCTTTACGAGGCAGTTGGATGACAAAGATTTTTTTTCTACTATTTTAAGATTTACGATTTATCTTATGAATTCCCAATAGACAGAGTAGATTCATCGATCATTCCCAAGATGAAAATTCATGAATAGTGAGTGAGCGTGTTAGCGAATTTATTTTATAACGTACTTGCTAAGTGAATTTGCCATCTCCTTTTACTTCCATCACCTTCATTTATTCTATATTTTCCAACTTTTTTAAAATTTTTATATATGTAACGGATTAATTTTTCGTCGTCTTTAGCGATTTTTTTCTCACACTTTGCATTAGAAAACTCAGTCACATGCCATTTTTGATTGCTCAGATTTAGTTAGTGATTATCATTTTTGGCTAAGCTGGTTCCGCTAAATTCCACTAGTAGAATAAGGTACTCTCACTAATCACTTGGGCATGAAAGGATAGATAAGTGTTTTTTGATAATAGTTATATCGTCACCAAAAGGTAGCTAACAGACCGTGAAGCTTAATAAAATGATAACTTAAGCAAATGGAGTTCCATTGACCGTGAATCCATAATTTATGGGAAAAAAATATGTTCTGTTTTCTTCACTTACCTTTTTTATCATTGCCCACATTATGGTGCAAAATTTATTTTTTTTCTTGAAATTTTCATTTTTTTTTTACTTGGGAAATTTTTTAAATGTAAATTTAAAAGTTTTTTATTGTGAATAATAACGAACCATTTTTCTCCTTTAAAAGATTTTTGGATATAAATTCTTTCAATTTTTGCAATTTTTGCAATTTTCTAAAATTTTCCATAAAATTACAGTAAAAATTCCAATAATTTTCTTCCTTTCAAATTTACAAAAAAATTTGATTTTTATTTTATTTAATCTTACCTTTATTACCATTTTCAGCGAAAAATTTATTATTTTTTAATGGAACATTTGGGAAAAAATTTTTCTAGAAAAAAGGCAATTTTCTGTTTCTCAACAGTTTTCTAAGCAATATTTTTGTGCGATTTTTTACGATATACTTGAGAATAGAATATGTTTTCATCTATTTGAATCGAATTCATGCTATATCTATAATGCTATATCTATATCTATAATATGCTATATCTATAATCTCAGACGATTAGTTCGAATAATGTGAAAAATAATCAAGATGGAAAGAAAATTGGTATAAAATTAAAAAATCGAATTAAAATAAGAAAAATTCACTAAAATAAATGAGATATGAAAAATATTGGTAAATTATTGGACATGGAAAACTAAGTTATTTCTTTGTATTATTTCGTTATCTCATCGTCTTTTATTATTATAATTAACGGCATTCCGACAAATTAATGATCTAATAATGGCCTCATAAAAATTCAGAAATTATAGACATAACAACTTTTCGATATTCGTTGTGAATGGCAATTTTTTATAATCAAAAAACCAATTCATGCAACTTTTTATTCATTCGTTGAATAGTCCATCTTATCACGTCAAAATCGAATAATAATCTATAATTTATCAGTTATCAATTTATCAGTTACTTATTTGTACTTCCATTAGCAAATGATTTTTCTGGCGAAAATAATTCCCAAAGAATGCAAACGATAATCATTGTTCAGTTACCAATAATTCTGACCAATCACATTTTCTAGCTTTTAATTTTGTACAAATTTGCGATTCATATTTCATAAAATCACAAAAATGGAAAAGCATAAACCAATGAAAGCAACAATAATGCGAAAGCAATTATTGATATCTATTAAAAATTGCCATTTGAAATTATTATAAATGCATTCATTAAAATTTTCATATTTAATA